CTGCTGCCTGCCTCACAAGCACAAGGACCTGAGTTCAATCCCTGGTACCAAAAAAAATCAGTAGCTTCACTTTACACTGATAGTGGACTAGCTGAGAAAGAAATCAGGAAAACAATTCCATTTACAATAGCTTCAAATAACATAAAATACTTATGGATCAATTTAGCCAAAGAGGTGAAAGACCTTTACAATGGAAATTTCAGAGCCCTGAACAAAGAAATTAAAGAAAAAAATCACAAGATGGAAAGACTATCACATTCATGGATTGGCAGAATTAATATTGTCAAATGGCCACATTAGCAAAAGTGATCTGCAGATTCAATGCAACCTCCATCAGGTACAAATGACATCCTTCACAGAATTTTTTTTAATCCTGAAATGCACATGAAAACATAAAAGACCCAGGGGAGCTAATGCAATCCTAAGTCAAAAGAGCAAGATATAAGGCATCACAATAACCAGATTTCAAAGTATACTACAAAGCCATAGTATGACAAACAGCATGGTACTGGCAAAAAATACTATGTAGACCAATGGAACAGAATAGAGGACACAGGAATAAACCCACACAACTTCAACCATCTGACTCTGGGCAAAGAAGCTCAAGTTATACATTGGAGAAAAGATATCCTCTCTAACAAACAGTGCTGAGAAAACGGGATATGTCTTTGTAGAAGACTGAAACTAGATTTCTATATTTCATCACAAAAAAAAAATCAATTCCAAATGTATAAAAGGTCTAAATATAAGACTTGAAACTTTGAAACAGCTGAAAGAAAATATATGAGAAATACTGGAAGCAATAGTCACAAGTAAAGACTTCCTGAGTAAGCCTCCAAAAGCACAGGAAATAAAAGCAAGAATGAATGAATGGGATTACATCAAAATAAAAAGTTTCTGCACAGCAAGGGAAACAGCTAACAAAGTGAAGAGACATCCTTCAGAATGAGAGGAAATCTTTACCACATACACTTCTGACACAGATAAATATGTAGAATATGTAAAGAACTCAAAAATCTTAACAACAAAAACTCAAATAGCCCAATCAATAAATGGGTAAATGAATTAATCAAACACTTCCCAAAAAACTACAAATAGCCAATAAGTATATGAAAAAAGGTTCAACATTTTTAGCCATTAGGGAAATGCAAATCAAAACTACTTTAAGATTCCATCTTACCCTAGTCAGGATGATTATCATCAAGAACACAAAAAACAATTAATGCTAACAAGAATTCAGGGATCTTCTTCCTCACTGGTGGGAATGATGTAAATAAGTAGAGCAACTATGAAAATCAGTATAACATCCTTCCCCCCCAAAAAAAAACACCCTAAAAATAGAGCTACTATTTGATCCAGTTATATCACTCCTTGGTGTATATCTGAAGCAATTAAAGCCAGGATACCATAGGGATACCTGCATATCCAAATTTACTGTGGTACAATTCACAATAGCCAAGATAGGAAACCAGCTAGATGTCCATGAACAGATGAATGGATAAAGAAAATACTGAGTACTATTCAGCCACAAAGAAGAACAAATTTCTGTCATTTGCACGAAAATGGATCAATCTGGAGATCAACACGTTAAAGCAAAATAAGCCAGACTCATTCTATCCCCAGTACCAAGAAAAGAAAAAAAAAAAAAGCCAGACTCAGAAAGACAAACATTGCATGTTCTCCCTAACATGTAGGCTCTCAAAAAAGTAGAAGGGAGACTATTATTAGACAAGAGGAAGGGAATAAGAGGGAGGGAGGGAGGGAGGGGGGCATATGGGTAGGTAATAAAGGGGTGGATATGAGCAAAATATATTTTACACACTAAAAGCTCCCCCCAAAAAATCTGATACTATGGGGGTAGTATAGGACAAAGGACCAATGGAAATGAAAATAATTAAAGTATATTATGTGAATGTATGAATCTGCCAAGATGAAATCCATTAATTTGTATAACCAATTACAAAAAATGAAAAAAGAATCAGAAAATATGAAGGATACAATATAAAATCAGTTAACAAATGTGATCTGAAACATATATATGAAACAACTATTTGTAATCATATATATACATCAATAATAAAATGCAAGTCCATAAAATAAATAAATATAATAGAATTCCAGTTAAGTGGATGAAGATATCTTAAGCACTAGAGAGAAAAATACCTAAGAAAGTATATTCTAAAAGAGAACAGTAAGAGAACTATAAAGTCACTGAAATTAAATCTATATGGACTATGGGTGTCAGAATAGATAAACGGATGAGGGTGTAGAACAGAATCCAGAAATCCAGTTTATATGAAATTGTAAAATATAATAAAAATGTATTTCAATTTAATGGGGAAAATAATGGTTATGTAGGGCTAGGGATTTAGTTCAGTGACACTGCGCCTGCCTCACAAGCTCAAGGTCCTGAATTCTATCCCCAGTTCCAAAAAAAAAAAAAAGAAAAAGAATGGTTATTTAATAAATGGTGCTGGCCCAACAGGCTATCCATTTGTCACAAGAAAATAGTCCCTATCTCATATGAAAACAAATTTCAGATGGAATAAATGGTTAAATGTAATAAATAAACCATTAAAAGTTAGAAGAAAACCTAGGAAACAACATTTACAATGTTTCTTAACGAGAAAGAAAAGATAGACTTATTCAAGTTTATAAAAGCTAAAAACAATTTATGTTGCAAAAGATATCATAAACAAAATTAATAGGCTAACGCTAGATTTGGAGAAATACTTTCAAGAGAGATAACAGATAATGGGTTAGTAATCATTACCAGCACATGAAGAGCCCTTACATATTGGCAGGAGATAAGCAACTCAATGAAAAAATGTGGAAAGAATGTGAAAAGGGAGTGCACAAGAACAAATCCACAGAGCCACAAGCATGACGATGCTCAGTTTACTAATAATTAGAGAAATACAAATTACAGTGAAATGATAATCGCTCTACATCCAATCAGATAAAACAATTGGAGAGCAATAAAATCAACTGCCAACAGGACGAGGAAGAAAAAACGTAAATTATTTATAGCTGTTTTGGAAAGCAGTCTGATAAATGTTTTTACACTAAAAATACACAGACACTTCAACTAACAAATCACACTCCTGGGAATCAATCCCATAAAAATAAAACCACCAATAAAACATTTACTGCAGCACTGTTTGCATAGTGAGAAATAATAAACAAAAAAATGAGTTCCTAGTAATATTAATAAATAATAATAATACACCTATATTGTGCAATATTAAACAGCCATCGAAAAGAATGAATCCAAACTAATCATTTGCCTTCATCAAAACCCATAAATGTATGTGTATGTAAGTGTGACTCTGTGTGTGTGTGTGTGTGTGTGTGTGTGTGTGTGTTGGGGGGCATGTGAGTGTGAAGACAAGCACAGAAAGACAACCATCTACCAGGTATGGTTGCTAACACATATTGCTTGCAAAGAGGATAGAGGTGTGAATAATAAATACAGGGGCTGAAAAAAAAAAGAGAAAACACATGGTTTTATTTATGTTAAGTAAATTAATCAAAGCCTGCTATAATGAGAGTCAGGAATATGCCGTGATTGGCATGAGCTTCCATCTTCCACATATCACCCATTCTTGAACTACTTCATAATCTTTCAGCATCTTTTCATCTGAACTGTCAATTCTGTGCAATGTAAGTCTCATGATCTTTTGTGCATTTTGAGACAATCCTAGTGAAAAATATTTCTCATAACCGTTAACCCACAGATTATAAAACTGAATTTCTGGACCCTACTTTTCAACATGGGATGTGTTTTTACATATAAATACAAGAACAATAAATTAGAAAAAATAAGGAGTTAATAACATTCACTAATTGTTGGGATGTCCATAAAATGAAATACAAGTTATAGAAAAATATGCATAAAGTATTCCATTTTGATAACAACAGCAAAACTTTATTTATAAATATATACTTCAGTATTTTAGGTAAAAGAGCAAGCTGTTCAAAGTATTCCAAACCCATTAATATAAATTACATGAAGGGGGAGGAAATAAGAAGAGGCAGATTACTAACTCTTCCTTCAAACTTTTCAGCATTATATTATTTCAGTTACTACAATAATAGTAGTAAGTAAAAAGTACTGCTTGAAACTTAAAAAATTAAGCAATGAAAACAAAGATAACCTATAAACAATAAAATAAAATAAATTGGAAATTATTTAGTATCTACCTCATAGGATCTGCTGAAGTGACCTAATTCATGTAAACTGCATAAGCATATTCCCCAATATGTCATAAATGCTTAATAAATGTCAGCTAGTTTTATTAAAACCAAAGACTGCAAGAGCTGTCATTTAGCTCAGTGTGCCACCACCTGCCTCGCAAGTGAAAGGTCCCAAGTTCAATTCCCAGTACCAAAAACAAAGAAACAAACAAACAAAACCAAACACTGCAGAGAGAAGCAGAAATTATGAAGCTGAAAAGACAAAGCCTTTCAAAACGACTTCTATACACAGAGCACTAGTCCACATATTACTGAATCTTGTGTCCCTGAGGACTCATTATGACAACCATAACAGCTTACTAAATATACCTTCATTGGCAATAAAATTACAATTTAAAAAATAAGGTATTCATATTATAAAAAGGAGATGTTAATCTTTTGCCTTTAAATTTACTTGAAGAACTTCAAGAACCATCCTAAGCCACTATGCTTCTGTTTCAACACTTCAATGAAAAATACTTGGGTCCTCAACAGTCTGCCATGTTGGAAAGACTCGAGGAGACAAATTCAAAGAGACCAGGGGGTGATGCAATAGCTCTCTGTGAGACCTACTCGAGGGAGAAATCCATTCCTATACAATGAAATTCTACCCCTGTGATTTTCTTTACTAGCCTGCCTAAAAATATGTGCTTAGTTACAATCTGTAAACTAATTTTGCCCCATTAGTACTATTCATATTGTCCAATAAAACATTAAAATAGCTTCAGAAATGTCACGCACAAGGTATTAGCCTTATTACTCACATGGAATCAACCTTCTCTTCAGGGCCTTGCACTTGGCCTGTCACAGTGCCTTTGCTGGTATTTTTCACCCAGCCAACCAGTCCTATTTTCTTAGCTTCACCTTCAGTGTACTAGATTCAAGAGAAAACAAGAAAGATGAAATCCATCATCAAAAGTCTGAATTCATAACATACTTGATTCTAATATTCTCTAGGGTAAATTTATGTTTGTGATAGATAATACATTCATTGTGAGGTATTGGTACATATACATATCTTGATTCTTTTGAAAATCTTTTCCCAGTTTCAAATTCAATTATTCTTCTAGAAAATGAAAAAAAAAAGCCACAACATTTTGATTTTGAAGTATTGTAAGCATATCATACTAAAAACTCTGGTGGATTCAGTCTACCAGAGCTTTTCAAAAACATGCTCTTCTGCTGGGTGGGGTGGCACATGCCTAAAATCCTAGCTACTCAGGCCAAGGCAGGAGAACAACAAGTTCGAGGCCAGCCTTGTCAATTTAGTGAGATTAAAATTTCAAATTTTTTAAAAATTATTTTTAAAGGGCCAAGATGTACCTCAGTGGTACAACACCCTGGGTATGACTACAGTACTACTGTAAGAAACTGTGGACCTGTCACTTCTTTCAAAGAATATGAACAAAATCACCTCCATCTTAAATTTTATTTCATCCTAGGCTGCCTTCTTCTACACCAGGATTGCAGTTGTTAAATTACAATGAACCTCTGCCCATTGGAATCCAGGAACACCTCCTGCCAAGGACATATGGTTCCCTAGGCCCTCCCTGTAGACAACCCTTTAGGCCCTCCCCTCATACCAAATAGACTAGCCAGTCAGGATAGATTGTGACCCTTCAACCCAGCCAATGGGGAAAAAGGTCAGCTGCTTCTCACCTTTAGGATATAAAGGAAGCCTAACCTGTTCCTGCCTCTTTTGTGTGCTTGCTATCCCGCCTTAAGAGTACAGCACATCCTTCTGCAGAAGTAAACTTGCCTTGGTGAGATTTCTTGGTGTCTGAGTGCTTTATTTCTGCACTGACAAACTGAGTCTGAGTGTTTATTGCCAGCACTACCAAAAACAAAAAACAAAAAATGTCTTCTGTTTGGAGACCAGAGTAGTCAAGATCACTACACTCCACACTCCAACTGCATGAAGCATCACAAACCAAAATAGTTATAGCTGAGATGTATGTGGAGTTAGTTCCAAATATAAATCAATTAACAAAGAACAAAATGGAGATTATCTGAATTATGAAGGCAGGACACAGCTGTCTCAAAACGTACTTTTCTGATGACAATTATGTTGGAACTCCCAGGAGCTTGGAACCCAGAGAGCTAATCTAGTGACTCTCAGCTCAGACAGTAGGTGACAATATAAACCAGAACTAACTTTCACAAAAGGAGTGTTTTTAAAAATAAAAATTTAAGACAAAACAAATTTTTAATGAGACAAGGAACTTAAATCACTAAAACTCAGGGAACACACACACAAAAAGACAAAGAAAAGCAAAGCCAAGCATGGTGGCACACACTTGTAATCCCAGCAGTTGGGAGGCTGAGGCAGGAGGATCACTGTGAGTTCGAGACCAGCCTGGGCTACTATATAGTGAGTTCCGGGTCAGTCTCAACTACATAGTAAGACCCTGTCTCAAAAAAACAAAACAAAACAAACAAACAAACAAAACTCTCTCTCTCTATCTATCTATCTATCTATATATATATATATAAATAAAATAAAACTCAGGGAACAACTTCCATATGCAACATTAGCATTTTTCACTATGCAGTCCAAAATACATTTGCTTGCCTAAAGGGTTTTCCCATCCAGGACATGTGAGAGATCCTACACTTTCTATTCAATACACCTAATTCAAAGTGCCTAATTTGAATTACCCCAAAAGAGGTATTTTGCAAATATATAGAAAATAGGCATGGGAGCACACACCTATAATCCCAGTACTCTGGGCAACTTAGTAATTTAGCAAGATGTTGTCTGAAAAGAAAAAAAGAAATTTGTAGAAAATTACTAAAAACTAGGACTGTTTTTAATAGACTATGTTTTTAAGACAGCTTAATAAAAATCACAGTCAGTAATTTGAAAAAAGTCACATTTCTTTATTTGCTGTGAAATACAGAAAATAAGCAGTAGACTATCACTATGTAGAAAACTGCTTATTTTTGTGATTTAAAATAAATGAAAATGGCCAGGCATGGTGGTGTACACCTGTAATCCCAGCACTTGGGAGGCTGAGGTAGTTGGATCGCCAGAAGTTCAAGGCCTACCTGGGCTACATAGTGAGACACTGTCTCCAAAACAAAAAACAACATATAAAGTATGATAAAAGATTCTAATAACTTACCATTCTGAAGCAAACACCTGTATAAGAAAAAAGATAAGAAATGTCAGTTTATGTACCTTTAAAAAAACGATGTATTTCCTGTCTTAACTCTTATATGCTTATTAAAGGGTTAGTAAATGAAATGAATAAAACATTCAGTATCTAAATGAACTCAAAGGGTGTTCTTTAAAATTATTTTCTTTTCAAATAAAAAAAGATTATTTTTTGGAGAAGTATGGTAATATTCTGAAACCTATGTATGATGAAATGCTGAACTAGCATTCTATTTTAAAATGCTAATTAAAATAAAATGCTTATTCAAGAATAGTTGAAGATGTTTAGCATAACACTTAACTTCAATTTTTAGAATTTCTTCTTTAAATACAAGAACTAATCACCTATAGGCCTTTTAGCTAAGAGGAAGTATAAATGCAAGAACTAAATTCAAGTTCAAATGTGATACACTTTTTCTTTTTATTTTGTTTCTAGTTATAACTAGAACCAATGAAGCAATATCATGTTATCATATGCTTGACCATAACTGGGCTTCTGAAGCCTCAGCACTAATGAAAATTAATTAAATAGAAATAATCCTTCGGATCTTTATGGTATCTTATGGTATGATCATACTTTTATCAGGTGGAATGGACAGTTTTCTGTTTGTTTGTTTTTTTGGTACCGGGGATTGAACTCGGGTCCTTGAGCTTGCAAGGCAGACAGTAGCACCACTGAGCTAAATCCCCGGCCATAGAATGGATAGTTTTATTTGTCTTGGTTATGTTCTCTCTATCCAAACTGTGGTAGACTAGACCTCACCATATTAGCCAAATACCATGACTAAAGTTACCCACAAAGCTGTGGGAGATCCTTCTGAGAAAGAGGTCAAGAATGTTATGGGATTTCATATCCTGTTTTGTCTGGAACCAAACCCTGATACATACAGAACTGGCCCCTAAAGTAAGGGTGAAAGAAAATTTAAGCAGGTTCCAAATTATCAAGAATACATTTTTATGGTTTGGGATGTGTTGTGGTTTAGATAAAGAATGTTCCCCAAAGGCCTCATGTCCTCAGAGGCAGGGCTTTTGGAAGGTGATTGAATCACGGAAGTGATATAGATGATTTGCTGTTATGAGTCAGGGTCTGGCCGAAAGAGGTGAGTCAGTCCCCCACCCCCACCCCCGCCACCATAAAGTGAGCAGCTTTCCTATGCAACAGGCTCTTCCACCATGCTGTGTCAGTGTTCAAATATGGTGAACACGGACTACAAAGTTTGAAACATGAACCAAAATAATCTTCTCCCTTAAGTTATGAGTGCAGTGCATTGCGTCCTAGAAAGAATAAAGTAAGACAGGTCCTGTTACGGAAAAGGGAAAGCCTTTTTACATCTCTCCTAGAAATTGCAGAAATGATTCTATATAAAGAGTTTCGGTCATTCCTGCAAATTGGAAGACCTTTGTTCCAAAAGGTTTCATAGAATAGGATTCTTTGAGACAGATATGTCCCACAGCTGACCTACTATACAGAGTGGGTTAGAACAAGTCTAAGAAAGATCAGGAATATGTCATGTGCAGAAATTCAGAGCTTCTTCATACCTATTACAATTTAGTTTTAATTCCCACCTAGAACACACAGGAAATTTGTTTTACAGTACCCAAGAAGCAAAGTAAACTAAAAAGCTTAGATTTAGAGGAGAAGAAAATAGCCATTAAAGATATTTTGGGAACGGATAAACAATTATGATAGAGCCACACAGTAGAATATCATTCAGTGATAAAAAGGAATGAACAATGAACACAAACAACAACCATATGAATCATATATAAATCAAATGCTTTATGCTAAGCAAAACAGGCTAGACTTAGAATGTGTAATTCCACATACTGGAAAAGGCAAAACTATAGACTGAAAAGAGATTGATAGTTGTCAAAGCCTGGAAGGAAGGGCCATGGATGTAGCTCAGTGGTGCCACCACCAGCCTTGCAAGCACAAGGTCCAGAGTTTGACCCCTGGTACCACAAGAAAAAACCTGGAAGGAGAGGAGAAAGCACTATAAAGAGGCAACAGGGGATGATGTGAATGTTCTATATCTCAATTGTGAGGGTACTTAGTGAATACAAATTATATCTGGATTAAAAAATATGAAAAATTGGCAAGTCACAGGGCATAGATCAATCTTCAAAGAGGCCAAAAGATATTACTTCTACACACAACAATTGAGACTGGTTAAGGGGATGTAGAAGATCAGTAGCTTAGATATTTTTTATAGCTTTACAAGCAGGTTTATAATAATGGTTCCTCATACTATTATATTGTAGGGTCAAATGAATATGAAGAAAAAAGCAATAAAGCAATAGAGATAGGATAGTGTCACAAATTAGATTTTTATAGGGCTATAAAGATATTTCAAAAATTACGTAAAATGTGCAGGAGTAATGGGTGGGAAGAAATGATCTGAAGGAGAATCAGAACAGAAAAGCAATCTGTTATATAGATGAAGGGAGATATTGGTAGATACAAAAAGCATCAGTGGAACATTCAAGAAACTTCAGGTCACCCAAACCATGTAGAAAAAACAAAACAGGAGAGAAAATGGTTAGAACTGTGCAGACAAGTGATCAGTCTTTTCATCATATGAGTAAAGGGGTCCCAGAACACAGTGAGACCCTGACCAAATAAGTCATCTGTATCATGCATATTCGCCTTTGAGTTTCTCAACAGTTAACAGCCTCATGTATTAGCATTATGAAAAGAGAAGCACATGAAACTGAAGCCAAAAGAAATGGGAAACACATGATCTCTTTCCTACTTAGAGTGGTCTATAAGGCAGCAGCACCTACGAGTTCTTTTTTAAACTCAAATTCCCACAACTCTCCTCAGACCTTCAGAAGTAGAAACATTACAGGTAGAGTCCATAAGTATGGTTAACATGCTTTTCAGGTGATTCTAAGGCCCACTAAAGTTTAGAACCAGTGGCTGGCCCTATCTTGAAGGAAGATCTGGGTGAGATTTTAAATTTATATGTATTTCAAGATAAGATTTGCATTATAGGCTGGACATATAGCTCAATGGTAGAGCACTTGCCTAACATGCATGAGAACCTGCATGAGATTTCCAGCTTCACCAAAAACTTGTACCACAAAAAAGAAAACTAACAAAATCTCAGAGTACTGATATTTAACTATCTGACACACTTCCCACTGATACAGTTCAAGTTCATGTTGATAATAAATCATGTGCTTGCATATCAATGCTGCCTCACTTATTTTACAAGTCAGTAGAACTACATGAAAGATACCATGGATGTTGGAAAGACAAACTTCCCTTCTCCTGCCCCCTAAATGAACCTAGTATTGGACACTCTTAAGCAACATGGCACTTACCTTGCTCCCTACAGTCTTAGTACTTAACAGCCAGAAATACTGAGCTGCAAAGAGGGAAGTGGACACCTCACCTCAAGCCGCAGTGAAGAACAATATCCTTTCAATATTTATGAATCTCAGGTGCCCTTCAGCAATCTATTCACAGATGACTAAAAAAGGTCACTGGCTTAAAGTGAAGGGGCTTGAGGACTTTTTATAACAGGTACCAAACACAGATATTCCACTAATTACATGTCACAGAGCTAAGGAAATTATCTACAATCTATCGATGGAGTATTTTGTTTAACACGGACATAATTTAAGAATCACAATGGGGCTGGAGACTTGGCTCAGTGTTTACACCGCCTGCCTCAAAAGCACAAGGTCCTGAGTTTGATCCCCAATACTAACAACAACAAAAAAATCTAAGAATCACAAAATTCAGATATGTCCAAGATATATTTTTAAGGGCTGGGGGTAGAGCTCAGTGGTAGGGCATTTGCCTAGCCTGTGTTAGGCCCTGAAGTGTCTAACACCTCAAAAAAAAAAGTCTAATTCTAAGTACAAAGGATATGTTTCTTGAAAAATAGGTCTTAGAGTTGAGACTTCAGTCATGAGCAAAAATTAGTATGATGAGAGTAGAATAATATTACAGATAAAAGATGTGCAAAAACTCAAAGTTAAGATTATGGCACAGTTAGATTATGGCACATAGTTAAATACTCAAAATCAGACATTTTCTCATGTTCAAAATGATTTATCATCCCCAAACTTCACTGAAGACTGAAAAATGGTTCAGTTCTGTTCCGTTTCTAGAAAAATGCATAGTAATGCTTTTACAGCTATAGCTTCCATAAACTTTTAACTAATTTACTGCAAGAACCTTTTTTTAACTGATCTCCTTTCTTCTACTCCTGCTTCTATTCCTACTCCTTCATAAAGCAGCCAAGGAAGTATAATACAACCACTTCTTTTCCTAGTTCAGATCCCTCTAGGGCAGCTGAGGATGTTGCTCAGTGACACTAGGCCTGCCTGACAAGTGCAAGGCCCTAAGTTTGATTCCTGGTACCTGAAAAAAAAATCCTCTAGTGGCTTCCCAAGACACTCAAAATGTAGGGAAGGGTATAGCTCATCAGGTACAGCACCTGCCTGGCAGTTGTAAGGCCCTGAGTTCAATTCCTGATACCAAAAAAAATTGTAATTGGTTGCCATGGTCTCCATGCCCATTCCTAATGCTCCTATAGCATCTTTGACCACACCTTTCTTTACTCCATTCCAGCTGCAATTGCTTCTTTGGGCTCCTTAAACATACCAAGCATAGTGCTCTCTTGGTCTCTGTACTTACTGTTCCTTCTGCTGGAAATGATCCTCCCCCAATCTCACTTCTGACTCCCCATTATTATTTCTTCACAAATCTCACCTTGGTAGAGAAATATTTTCTAATTCATCTAAAATAGTAATGCACTCCCATTCTCCCTACACAGACAAGCACATACTTACTTATATTACTATATAATATTCTGCATTGATTTGTTTACTCTTCATTTCCTATCTTCAGAGTAAACTTTAAGTTCCATATGAGGGGGGCTACTCTTTCTGTCTTATTCATCCAAACCTAGACCACAGTTGGGGATACATTTGTTAAATAAACAAATAAAAGAAAAATCAGCTGATGAATA